GCCTTAGCCGCTTGAGCCACAGGCGCCGAGCCTCAACTTTCTGAAGTTTTCCCTCTTTTCCCAGTGCCGCTCCCGGAGTGGCGACCCCTACAGGGAGCAAGGGTGCCGCTGTTGGACTCACGTACCTGTGACCGCCTCTACCACCTGGGTGCAGATGTACCCCGGGCCGAGCGCATAGTGCTGCCAGGGAACTTGTGTGCCGGCTACATTGAGGGCCGCAAGGACGCCTGCCAGGTGTACCTCCCCGCCCCTGTCCTCCTTATTCCACTCCATTGTGTCCAGCACCCTACTTCCCTAGAATCCAAGACCCAAAAGATACCAACTCCAGGCTCTGTGCCCTGGTCATCAAGCTAGACGTACCTCCTGAGGAGTCTAGAGCCTGGAGAACTACTGTGAAGTCACATAGGGATGGGACCTAATCTTGCCTTTCTCTTGCAGGGTGACTCTGGGGGACCCCTGACCTGCCTGCAGTCTGGGCGCTGGGTCCTGGTGGGCGTGGTGAGCTGGGGCAAGGGTTGTGCCCTGCCCAACCGACCAGGTGTCTACACCAATGTGGCCGTGTACACTCCCTGGATTCAGGCTCATCTCAGCCTCTAATGCTGGTCAGTGATGTTGACCTGGAGCCAGATGCTGGGGTTGCTCAGCCTCCTGGTCCATCTTAGGATCCGCACATGACTCTTTCTTCTGACTTGAGGCTGTGATCCCTAATAAAGCTAAAGGACCATCACCCATCTGTCCATCCCCCTGCTTCCTCTTCTCATTGGGGCTCACCAAATCTGACTTTATCAATCTTCATCCGGGGATCTCCTATGCATCCTGGGGGATTACACAACCTCCTTATCCTCTTGGCTTGTATTTACCTTCCTTAGCCCTAGCCAGGCCTGTGCACAAGGCACTTAGAGATGGGCAAGTCAGCTGGTGCACCATCATCTGGCCTACATGCCTCTCTTTTTCTGGAGGGAGTTCGATAGATTTAAGCATGAGAGGAATTTGATACCAGGGAGATTCTCTATTGCTGCTTATGAAGATGGAGGGATCATAAAATGTGAGCAACCTCTTAGATCTGAAAGCAGCCTCTAACTGACAGACATCAGGGAAACTGAAACGTCAGACCTACAACCCCAAGGACCTGAATTCTGCCAGCACCCCAAAGGAACTTGGAAGTGAATTCCTCCTCCATCTCCAGATAAGAGGCCCACCCAGCCAATCCCTTGATTTCAAACTGGTGAGACCCTAAGCAGAGAAGCTACATGAGCCACTGGACTTATGATCTATAGAATTGTGATTTAATAAATGTGTATTGTTTAAGCTGCTACATTTGTGGTAATCTGTTATACAGCAATAAAAATGAATATAGATTTTGCCCCATTATGATGGCGGTGTCCCAGTGGCAAGGGTGGGCTAGTCACCATGGCCAGCCAAGAGGCTCAGGAGTCTGGGCACTTGGTGTCACACCCTCAGCCCAGGAGGAATCAGGTGCAGGCCCAGCCACAACTTCTGTCCTCATTGTCTCTGACCACCATTCCCTACTAGGGTGAGCCTGGGGCCCTGGCCTTCACCACACAAGTGTATCTGGATGACAACCTAGCCCCTGTTCAGTTCCTTGCCCACCCTTGTGTTCCATTTCCAGTCTGGGGCCTCCCTGCCTTGTCCTTGTCTGCAGACCCAAGACAACCCATGCCAACAGATAGAGGTCAATTTCTACAGCTGCAGAAGGAATAGGAAACCAAACAAAACTGGAAAATCCAAAGCCTCCTCTTTAGAGCTGATGGGGACAGTAAGGGAAAATAGGAGAAGGCAAACATCAAAGGTGCAACCCTTCAGGTCCCAACACAGGCCTGAGCCTCACCCCCTCTCCTCTTTTCTTCCAGGGGAGCCGAGGAAATGGATTGTACTAGATGGTCACTACTGAGCCAAGCCTGGTTGCACAGGGTGGGGGCTCTCTCCCAGGTTGAGAGAAGTCCACTGTGCAGTAGAGCTTGGCCACCCCCTGGTGGGGTCATCAGGGACCAGGGTGCCTAGGACAGGACATGGCCATGGCAAGCCAGCCTACAAAAGGCTGTGGGTACACTGCCCAGGAGGGTGCCATGGGCCCTAGCCTCAGAAAGCTGATACTCATGAAATTTTATTTACATAACAAAACCACCTTCATGGTCTCCTGCTGTACTATTAGAATTAAACACACAATTAAAAATTATATTTGTCGCTGGTGTGGTGGTTCACGCCTATAATCCCAGCACTGCGGGAGACTGAGAAGGGAGAATTGCTTGAGCTCAGGAGTTCGAGACTCACCTGAGCAAGAACGAGAGCCTGACTCATGAAAAAAATGGAAAAACCCAGACAGCTGCCGCATTGAGCACCTATAATCCCAGTGGCTTCCAGAGGCTGAGGCAGTGGGATGCCCACAAGCCAGAGTCTGAGGTTGCAGTGAGCTAACAAGCCACTACACTCTGTTCAGGGGCATAGGGTGGGACTCTGTCTCAACAACAATAAAAAGCAAAGAAATAAAAAATAAGCAATGAAATAAAATAATAAATAAATAAATAAATTCTACTCTCGGCCCCTGTGGCTCAGGCAGCTAAGACGCCAGCCAAATACACCTGAGCTGGTGGGTTCGAATCCAACCCTGGCCCACCAAACAACAATGATGGCTGCAACCAAAAAATAGCCAGGCGTTGTGGTGGGTGCCTATAGTCCCAGCTACTTGGGAGGCGGAGGCAGGAGAATCACTTGAGCCCAGGAGTTTGAGGTTGCTATGAACTGTGACACCACAGCACTCTACCCAGGGCAACAGCCTGAGGCTCTGTCTCAAAAAATAAATAAATAAATAAATAAATAAATAAATTCTATTTGTCAGTGGTCAGATGACATTAAGATGGATCTTTTAAATTTGATTCCTAAGTTTATGTATACATATTAGAGATTTCTTATTCTAAATAAGTACCTTATTTGTACTTACAGGAAGTCCAAATTTTAAAATATGCATAATAGTGTCATGGCTAGCCTTAAAAAAATTTCTTTGTAACAGGAGAAATGACCTAAAAAAAGGGTAAAACTTTTGTTTTGTCTCTTTAAAACCTACTGCACTCTTTTTTGAAATTAAAACCTGTAGCCGGCTCGGCGCCTGTGGCTCAAGTGGCTAAGGCGCCAGCCATGTACACCTAAGGTGGCGGGTTCGAATCCAGACCGGGCCTGCCAAAACAACAATGACGGCTGCAACCAAAAAATGGCCGGGTGTTGTGGTGGGCGCCTGTGGTCCCAGCTACTTGGGAGGCTGAGGCAGGAGACTCACTTGAGCCCAGGAGTTGGAGGTTACTGTGAGCTGGGATGCCATGGCACTCTACCCAGGGGGATAGCTTGAGGCCCTGTCTCCAAAAAAAAATAAAAACAAAAAAAACCTGTAGCCCTGCTTCAGTTCAGGAGTCCGGAGGAGCAAGGGAATGTCCTTTGTTCTTTGTACCACAGGAGATGGGATGATCAGAACCATTAGCTGTAATTAAACAATACTCTAAAGCTGAAAACCTTCCTTTTAAAGGCTCTGTATTTCTGCTTATGATTAGGATGATGGCATTTTAGATGGGCACCTCCATTCTCCTCATTTGCCAGCAAATTAATAAACTCCCCTTTCCTTCTTCTCAAACCACTTGTTTTTGTTCTTCTGATGCAGCCTTGGAAACAAGCTTTTTGTAATATCGCAAGAAAATTAAAGAGCAAAACTCTGACCAAAATAAAAAATAAAATTCTTTGTATGCTGACCCTCTAGGAATAACTGTACCTGTGGGAATAATAGCAAAGGGCAGTCCATCCTATGGCCTAGTAGTTAATGACAGGTCTCTCCTCTTGGCAGATGCTTGTCCTAGTTCTTTGGCTCCTTGCTTAGAAGAATCAAAAGCGGGGCCTGTGTGATAAACAGAAAGCAATTCCACAAAAACAGCTTTTATTGCAGAAAAGAAGAAAGATATACAAAGTTAAAATACATTCCAGAGACAGGAACAGGTCAGTCTCCACAAGTGGAGAAAGACATTAAGAACTCCCAGGTCGGCTCGGCGCCTATAGCTCAACCGGCTAAGGCGCCAGCCACGTACACCTAAGGTGGAGGGTTCGAATCCCCAGCCCGGACCTGCCAAACAACAATGACGGCTGCAACCAAAAAATAGCCGGGCGTTGTGGCGGGCGCCTGTGGTCCCAGCTACTTGGGAGGCGGAGGCAAGAGAGACTCGCTTAAGCCCAGGAGTTGGAGGTTGCTGTGAGCTGTAAAGCCACAGCACTCTACCCAGGGGGACAGCTTGAGGCTCTGTCTCAAAAAAAAAAAAAAAAAAAAAAAAGAACTCCCAGGTTGGGCGGTACCTGTGGTTCAGTGAGTAGGGCACCGGCCCCATATACTGAGGGTGGTGGGTTGGAACCCAGCCCTGGCCAAACGGCAATTAAAAAAAAAAAAACAAAAAACTCCCAGATTGTTTTCTTTTACTGGCATGGCCCAGGGGAGGGGTTATGGGAGGTGAGGGTGGTATCAGATGATTAACAGGAATTCTACATGTTCCTGCAGACCCTTGTCTGATTGCTCCCTGGCTTCACTGCCCCCAGGAACCACCCTCTTGGCCTGTATCTTCCACCTGCAGATTTGATCCCTGCCTACCAGTTAAGATTCTGTCCTTCACTGTTGTGACATGGATTGATTCCTTGTCAGAGAACTGGCCCCTTTTGGTTTGATATTTATGTGACTTTTTACATTTTGTTTTGAGACAGAGTCTTACTATGTTGCCTTCAATAGAGTGCTATGGCATCACAGCTCACAACAACCTCAAACTCTTGGGATTAAGTGATTCTCTTGCCTCAGCCTCCCAAGTACCTGGGACTACAGGTGCCTCCAACGATGCCCAGCTATTTTTTTTGTTGTTGTTGCCATTGCCGTTGTTGTTTAGCCGGCCCAGGCCAAGTTTGAACCCACCAGGCCCCATGTATGTGATCAGCACCCTAACCGCTGAGCTACAGGTGCCAAGCTAACTTCTGACTTTTTGAGGCACTCACTTATTACTGATCCTTTTCTCTTCCTTAGCCAGCTTTTGATTTTCCGTCTTCTCTCATTTGTGGGGGTACATGTGAGGGTTTGGGGGCCTTTGTATGTATATGGTCAGCTGAGAAGCTGAGACCCTAAAAATATAAAAAACATATATAACTGGCTCAGTGCCTGTAGCTTAGAGGCTAGGGCGCCAGCCACATACACCGGAGCTGGCAGGTTTGAACCCAGCCCTGGCCTGCCAAACAACAATGAGAATTACAAAAAAAAATAAAATAAAATAGCCAGGCATTGTGGCAAGTGCCTGTAGTCCCAGCTACTTGGGAGGCTGAGGCAAGAGAATCACTTAAGCCCAAGAGTTTGACGTTGCTGTGAGCTGTGATGCTGCAGCACTTTGGGAGGCTGATGTGGGAGGATCACTTAAAACTAGGAGTTCTAGACTAGTCTGGGCAACAGTGAGAACTCATCTCTACAAAACAAAAAAAGAAAAGAAATATTGGGCGGCGCCTGTGGCTCAGTGAGTAGAGCCTTTAGGTGCCTTTAGAAGGGAAGGGGGAGAGAAACTGGAAAGTATACATGCAGCAAGTGGTTGCTAAGTGGGGATGGATAGAGGGAGAGAAAACAGATTGATGTGTGAATTAACCTGAAAGACAGGTATTGTGCTTCAAATGACCTTATCACAGGTCTATTAGCATGTGATAAGGAGTATGGCAGCCCTTTAAGATAGAGGAAAGTGGGCTGCGCTTGTGGCTCAATGGGTAGGGCGCCAGCCCCATATACTGAGGGTGGTGGGTTCAAACCCGGCCCCGACTAAACTGCAACAAGAAAATAGCTGGGCGTCATGGCAGGTACCTGTTGTCCCAGCTACTCTGGAGGCTGAGGCAGGAGAATCACCTAAGCCCAGGAGAAGGAGGTTGCTGTGAGCCGTGACGCCACAACACTCTACTGAAGGCAATAAAGTGACTCTGTCTCAAAAAAAAAGACATATTAACCAGGCATAGTAGTACACACTTGTAGTCCCAGTTACTCAGGAGGCCAAGGTATAGGGATCCCTTGACCCCAGGAATTTAAGGTTGCAGTGAGCTGTGACGATGCCACTGCACTCTAGCCCAGGTGACAGCGAGACTCTGTCTTTCTTTTTGAGACCAGAATCTTACTATGTCACCCTGTGCTGTCACAGCTCACAGCAACCTCCAACTCTTGGGCATAAGTGATTCTCTTACCTCAGCCTCTCTTACCTCAGCCTCCTAAGTAGCTGGGACTACAGGCGCCTGCCACAACGCTCAGCTATTTTTTTGTTGTTGTAGTTGTCATTGTTGTTTAGCAGGCCGGAGCTGGGTTCAAACCCGCCAGCCCTGGTGTATGTGGCCAGCACCCTAACCACTAAGCTATGGGCGCCAAGCTAAGACCGGTCTTTAAAAAATAAAAACAACTGGGTATAGTGGCTCTGAGTGGTATT